GGAGGTTTGGTCGTATTTCTGGACGAAGGCTATTGATTTGGGTGTTTTCTCTTGCAGTGCTGTTTTTCATTTATCTGTCTGTTTTCGGCATCCACATGCTACATGGTGAGACTGGAACAATTTTCTCAAAATTTGCTTTCAAAGTTACAATGCCTTTCATTTAAATTGCTTAAAATTTCATCTAAATTTGAGGTACTTGGAGTTCAATATCGTTAAACGTTTGATCCATATTAAACTTATTGGAAAAGATACCTAATGATGCAATCCTTGTTTTTGATGAATGAATCCTGTTAAAGTCTGTCAACCAAGTGGTCATTATCCTGACATTTATAGAAAATAATTTGAAGATCAAAAGTTTTGAGATGTATGTGACTTTCTTTTTCTTTCCTAGAAACTAAATCAGGATTGGACGTGGAAAAAATATGGTAAACTTTTTTTATAAAGATGTTCACAGACATGCCTTGAATTCTGTAATGCAGTGGATTCGAAAGGGGGACCCTCGTCTTTGAGTGAAGTAAAAGGTTCTTTCACACATGTTATTGTCAGGGAAGAGCAAGATAAATCAGCTGGTGATGATGTCTCGAAGCAACCAAGGAAACCCCATAGGGCACGTAAGAGAACTTCAATTTTTCTGTGTATGAATTTTGAGGTTCATCACGTAAGATTGTTTTAATCATTCAGATGTCTAGCCACCTTCTTCTCAGTACGTCTAACTTTTTTGTTTTTGTTGTTCTTTTGGCCTGGTTCTATGATATTCACCCAAATTTTCATCAGCAAAAGTTTACTGAGTAGTTGGACTTAACTAATAATTTCTCTTTCTGTATACTGAAACTTGCTTGCATCTGATAAAGATATTTCACAACCTCTTAAAGCTACTATAATAGAAGTTTGCAAATGAAAATCTATAAAATAAAGAAAATGAAAAGTCAGTGAGTAGTTTTCCATACTTAATCTGCATGGATTATTATGTGACTGTTAATGTATCATCAAAAACTGAATATGGTTAAATAGAACTAACATTTGACATATACCAAACATACTATGTTCTTAATGCGCTGGGCTCAAAGCAGCAGCTTTGATCTTTACTTTCACATCAGTTGTAAAAGTGAAGTGTGAACAGTGCTGAGAATGGGTACAAATACACTGCAAAAGTAGCATAATGATTTCTGTTCATCATCTGTTAGTCACCCGTCATTTGCTGTTCTGTCTATGTGTATTTCTTGTTTGAACTCCTGTTGCTTGCGCTGTGAATCTTTCCATATTTTGCGCTTGTACCATGTTGGTTAATTTTCGTGCCATTGTTCATTACTTCAACTTTATATTTCAGGGTATTTTCCTTGTGAGGTATCATTTTTAGATTCAGTTAATTATTTGATTGAGCCCAAGGACTCTGCGAACATCACCCAATTCTCAGTGCATTATGTTGAAAGAGAGGAGAGACCTTTACACGATGCATCATTAAAACCCAGATTTGGTGGTCATCAAACCCTTCGAGAGAGAAAGGAGTCTTTCTATGCTAGAAATCAGACAATGCATTGTGGTTTTATTAAGGGACCGGTAGGATTTCAAAGCACTGGATTTGATTTGGATGAGGAGGATAAAAAGTATATGAGTAGCTGTAGTGTAGCTGTTTCATCATGCATATTTGGAAGCTCCGATTTCTTGCGAAGGCCAACCAGCAAACTGGTAATATGTGACTCTTCACAATAATCCCAGAATATTCAGCTTTGGAATGACTTTGTTGTTTGCACAATTGGCTTTACACTTTGTACTGGACTGCGCTATTTATACTGGTGTTGCATATGATTTATACCAGTTTACCAGTATAGAATTATGAACTATTAGACACTGGATGAAACTGTCTGCTTTTACCATGTAAACGTCAACATCACCCAGTTCTCATTGTTCATTGCAGATCAGTGATTATTCCAAGAGAAATGTTTGTTTTGTCATGTTTGTTGATGAGCAAACTCTATCCAAACTCTCTGCAGAGGGAAATGTTCCAGATGACAGAGGATATATAGGATTGTGGAAAATTGTAGTTGTGAGAAACTTGCCATACAAGGATATGCGGAAAACTGGAAAGGTGCCAAAGTTTTTGTCACATCGCCTTTTCCCTTCATCTAGGTGAGCCACAAAACATCTATAGTTCTCTGGACCTTCCTTGCCTATTGAAGGCTGGAATAGTGAATTACTCCATTTCTTCTGGCAATCTCTAGATATTCCATATGGCTTGACAGCAAGTTGCGACTTGTGGCTGATCCTATGTTGATCATTGAATACTTTTTGTGGCGAACTGGTTCGGAATATGCAATATCCAATCACTATACTCGACACTGTGTATGGGAGGAGGTACTCCAAAATAAGCGTCTAAATAAGTACAATCCCACTGCAATTGATGAACAGTTCAATTACTATCGGTCCGATGGTCTAGTCAAGTTTGACCAATCAGATCCCAACATCCCTCTTCCAAGCTGTGCGTGCCCTTATTGTCATGTTTCTGCTTCAATTAATGCTTACTCTTTCTTTAAATTCTTTACCATTTGGACAAAATGCTAAATTTGTGTATTCTGTTCTGCTGTAGATGTACCAGAAGGTTCTTTTATTGTAAGAGCCCATACACCAATGTCAAATTTATTCTCTTGCCTTTGGTTCAATGAAGTTGACCGCTTTACATCACGAGACCAATTAAGCTTTGGTTATACTTATTTGAAACTTAAGAGAATGAATCCAGATAGACCTTTCCGCTTATACATGTTTAAGGTGAGATGCCTGCTTCAGCTGTTCCCTTTTTCTCCTCATGGGTGAAGCTGTGGGTCTATTGGAGCCTAATGTTTTAACTAATTTAATTCCGTTTTACCCTTTAGAAGTCTGTATCAATGCTAGAATTTATATCTTGAAGAATATGTTTCTTTCGCCATAATTTGGCCACGTTAATTCTTCTGTTTCTCTGTGTGCTACATTATTTCATTATTTCATTCTTGTTTCCAGATGTAGTTTTGCCTTTGAATGTACTTGAATACACGCGTATGTGCTTTAGTGTGTTTAAATTTCTATTAAGCCTTGGAAACAAAAATGAAATGCTCATCACATCCTTTACAAGGTCATTCAACCCTCACTTAGAACTATAAAACACTGCATCTTACTTGTCAAGCATTATATGTACACGCTTACTAGTGAATTATTTCTCACTGATTGATTTTGTCAATATGTTCCTTTAAGGAGTCTGATTGCTATTGCGATCCCATTTGTTTGGATTGCTTATTGCTACTAATATTACTCTGAGATTGTATGTGTTTTTAATTTAAAGTAAATCGACCAGATACTGTAACTATATAACCTGTAAACTATTCATTCAGGACTGTGAGCGCAGGTCACTGGTAAAGTTGTTTCACCATAGAGAACTCTAACCTCCCCCTGTTCATTGAAAGGTAAGGTGTAGTAACGTATTTCTTGTTTCTTCATCCTCAACCTCTTTTTGATAGTGTCTAAATATAGCAAGTAGTGTGATATGACAATTTGCTTTAAAAGTCAAAAGGTGAAAAATCAAACTTCCACTTTGCTGCAAGTGTGATACTTACTGCAGCTTCTTACAGATTGCGTGTCACTTGAATTTCTGACTCCAGGTCTGTACATATGGTGCTCTTCTGCCGTGAGGTTTTCAAATCAACAAAATACTGCAGTGGAAATGTCTTTGGTCAGAAATTCGGCCTAATTTCATATCCCCTTGGCCATTCATCATCACCCATCTTCTGAGGGGCTGTTTGACTAAATGGTAAACTTTGGTTTCCTATATCTCACTTACTATTACAGAATCATCCCTGATGGTTCGACCCTAGTGTTCTGCAGGTTGTCTGCTCAGTTACACGGCGTTTGGCATGCAGAATAGCCTGGATTTGAATGTTTTGAATCATTTTGATCTCTCATCTAAGCACATATACAACCTCAAGTTTTGGTACTTCTTGTAGGCTTAGCACAATCTCCAGATTTCTCAATTGAATTTTGGTAAATATGATTCAGCTTTGATGGTTTGGTCTCTTACTGGAAAAGTTTCAGTAATTGACTCTTTCCTTGTACATGGATATTACTCTACATTTACTAGAGCAGTAGCAACATTAAAGATCATTACTCCAGGTGCTGGCAATCTTGGAACACTATTACTGGAAATAGTGCAATGAGGCAACCGATGAAGCAGCTACAAGTTTGTTATAATGACACCACACCACACTAAACTGCTCTTAATCACTTCAAAATCTCCTGTCAAAAAATGGAAAAATGATAAGACAAAAGCTTGGTGATAATCACCACAATATCTTGGATGTGTTTGGATGGTATTTTGTTTGTCAACATTTATATGATTACATTACAAACACATTTTTCAACAACATTTTTATTCTTACAATTATTTTTTTTTTATCTCATATACACTGCATCAAAAAAAACTATAGTGTTTTTGGAAAATGTTATTTCAAATAATCTGCTATTCACCTCCATCATTAAGTATTAAAAGACAAGCTAATATATATATATATATATATATATATATATAATTTTAATACTTTTTCTTCTCTTTTTTTTTTCTCAAAAAAAAGATACTTAGTTTTTTCTTTTACTGTGTGTGTTTGTGCTGCAATGTGAAAAAGACTAAGGATTGTAAAGACATTTTAACATTTTCCTTTTTCTTTTAAGTAACTTTTGAAAGATTGCAAACAACTAACAGCCTTGAAACACTACTTCAGGTGTTTAATTGACAAAATTTTCAAATTTTCTTTATAATGCCGGAGTGTTCAAATGGAAGCCAGCAACAGATGCTACACGCTTTTCAAAGACGCGTCTAATTTATACAAGATGCACCACGCTTTCAACAACATACTACTAAAGGCGCAGTTATTGGATTTTAAACATCACTCGTTGAACTGGCCATTGTAATCTACATCAAGCCCAAGGAGTCATTCTTTGTTCTTTCCTATTGCAGATCTAAAGGCGTGTATAATGAGCCAAAGATAATCACGCCTTTAGAATCGGTGCAGTTTTCTCTACTATTTTGATCCTTTCTGCAATTCTTTCATTTCTGAACTTGAAGAATACAAATGGAGGCCTGCAATATCTTCAGAGCTCTCAAGTCCTTCAGTCTCAGGATCCCTCATTCTCGTTCTGTTCGATCTTCGTTTTCACTCCTCCCAATTGCCAAAATTCACACAGGTGAGCAAAGCTCCACTCAAATTGCAATCCCATCTGAAGTAATCCCCGTTTCAAATATAAAAAAGGTTAAAAAAAAAAGAAGAAAAAAATCCAATCTTGGTTGAAATTTGTGAACTTTGTACCATTTGGGAAAGACTAATCTTCTCTTTTTGATTTTTAAGATTGTGGGTTTTACTGCAGTGGTGTTGGCTAATTGGAGTTAAAATTACTGGAAATTTAAGAACCTTTTCTTTTGGATTGGATTTCTGGTAGGAGGAGAAAGATTGGTGAAGAAAGCATATGATGGGTTGCTATTAGACGCTGGGGGTACCCTTTTGCAGCTTCCAAAGCCAGTTGAACAGACTTATGCTGAAATTGGCAAAAAATATGGTTAGTTTATTTTCCTGGTGAAAAATTTCCAATGTTAAACAAGTGATTAGAGGTAAATTATTCAAGAAAGCAGTTTTTTTTTGGGTTGGCATTTTCTTTCTCTTGAAGGGTTGCCTATGAATTGATTGGTGACTGAAAGCATAGCTGATTATTGGCTTGGTTTTGGTTGCAACTTTCTTGTATGTTATTTGGTGATGACAGGTCTTCAAACTACTCCAGCTGAAATAAAGCAAGGTTTTAAAAGAGCTTTTTCTGCTCCATGGCCTGAAAAACTGCGTTACCAGGTTTGCCACTTTTCACTGCTCAGATAATTGACAACCACTTAATTTTCAAATTTTATTGGAATAACAAGTTGATGGCTTCTTTATTTGATTGATGCAATATTCTCAACTTTTCATTTCTCCAACTATGTGTGGGTTATCTTTCGGTCATTCGCATGTGCTTCTTGTGCTTATATTAGATGAAATTAAGAAATTTATACAGCGGGGTAAACGTCCAAAAGTGAAAACACTGAAATTATGAACTAATACAGTGGGATTTTCTACTTTGTTGTGTAACTAGTTTGCAGGTATCTTGATGTAACAGAAAATGATCTAGGGAAATCTTTTGTTGCTGTAACAACTAATTCTGACTTTACTAGTTGGTCTGCCACTTGACCGCTACTATGGACACCATCAATCGACCAAAATTATGAACCCTACTTATAAAACACAGTAATCCTTAATGCGCTGCATAATCTCGTATTTGCAGCTATGACAACCTCCCCTGATAAATCCCATAGGATCACACTGTACTTCTTGTCCAGCTATGGCTGATTCTGTGTTCCCTTGGCTGATTCAATTTCCCCCTTAACCTGGAGTCCCTGCCCCACAGAAATTTACAGAGATTTAACAAAAAGCTTAGGTTGCACAACATTTCCGAGTAAAACAATGCTTACATTTTGCTTCAGCAATTTACCATGGTGCGTATGATTCTTTGGTTTGTTTAAAGTCTAAACTTGATTTCCCTTTTTTCCCCTAGCAAGTTGCATTATCTAACCATGGGATAATGGTGGACTAGAAAAATTATATTAGAGGAGGGATTGTTGTGCAGTGACCACATGTTCCTCATTATTAATTTGTTACAGCGTTCCAGGACAAATGAGTCAATATGTTTCTGCAGGTGTCGTTTAAAGGGAGTTAAAGTCTTTTTCCCAAAGTAAATGGATAATTCCTAAACCAAAAAGACATCTTTCATGCTGGCAGATATTCGTGTTTTTACATGATTGAAGATAAGTGTCCAAAAATTAATTCATGCATCGCATATTTCAGCATGCTATACTCTTGCTTGCCCTTGAAACTCTTGCTTCCATCATTTTGCTCTAAAATAAGGGGGAAAAGTAGGTGATTGGTCATGGCTCTGCCAATTGTTGTTGATGTCTGCCCATAGTTGAAGTAGTTACATCTATGATGGGAACAACAAAGACAAACAGGTTACCAAAAAGAAGTGTCCTTCCAGATATTTTGCTCGCTTTAGGTTTAGTTCTTAAAGTGAAGCTTGCATGTGCAAACAACCTTTTTTATTTCTCCATCATCATTTTGGCAGTAATTGCACAATATTATCCAATTAACAGAAGATGTTATGTTCCTTGATGCATATATAGTAGCTGTAGTTCCCCACTACAAAGTTTCAACTGTTGGTTTTATTGACAGATGTTACCTAACTGACAGGGTGATGCGAAGCCATTTTGGAAACTTCTTGTTTCTGAGGCCACTGGGTACAACAATGATGATTATTTTGAAGAAGTTTATGAGGTAATAATTTTCTTTGGCTTGAGCTACTTTCAGTATATCCTTAAAAGATTCTTTTATTACTAAGAGATTGGAACAAGTTTAAAAGTCAAAATAATTATCCTTAACTAAACAATACATTTTTATCAGTACTATGCCAACGGTAATGCTTGGCATCTACCAGCTGGAGCCTATGAGACAATATTGGTTCTGAAAGATTCTGGAGGTTATCATCTTTGTCTGTTACTGTGTAATTGACTGTATCTCTTTTCCTTCTCTTTGTTTCTGATTTTCTTCAACATTATACAGTGAAACTGGCTGTCGTGTCAAATTTTGACACTCGCTTGAGGAAGGTATTGAAAGATCTCAATGTATTAGATCTGTAAGTACCCATGTCACACTTTCCTGTTGTTCAATATTCAAAATAACCTGGATAAGTGTGGTTTTAGCTTTCTCTGAATAATGAGGACTAGGTATTCCATGTCCTGGAATGAAAATTCTAGCCTTTAAGAAGTATGACTCAGGAGTAAATGCCTGTGTCATGTAGGATAGTGGAATGTTCTTCATACGTAGAATGACACTCGTATCATTATGGAAACCCCTGCTCACGTGGGGGAAAGTCTCAACTTAGTTTGCCTTTGGCATTTGAGGTAATTTCCAGGCATGTACGGTATGGAATGTGGATAAATTATGTACTTTATTCCACGGTTCATGATCTTTTGCTCTTTTTCAAACAGATTTGATGCTGTCGCCATATCTTCAGAGGTTGGATATGAAAAACCAGATGCACATATCTTTAAATTTGCTCTAGGTATGTGTTCCATACCATCTTAATTCGAACAAAACATGATGGCAGACAATCTACACACACACACACACACACACATATATATATATGGAATTTTCCGATCTCTCTTCTTTATCTGCCTAGTTGCCATAGATTCTGTGATGCAGCAATCCTTGCTTGACTGAGGATCTCCACATCCTTGTTTCATTTAATTCAAAAAATTCATTTGTCTAATACCGAAGCATGTGTTGAAGATGTTTGAAGTGGATATGAGGTATATGTATTGTTTGAGCTTGTTGTAGATCAGATGTCTGTGGAAGCAAGAAGAGCAGTTCATGTTGGAGATGATGAAAAGGCTGATAAAGAAGGAGCTAATGCTGTTGGGATCGACTGCTGGTTAGTTGAAGAATTATCTTAGTGCTTAGACACATCATTTGTTCACCATGACGTCACTCGTACATTTACCATATTTATTACTCAGCAAGATTCACAAAATATTTTCTCGAACGGTTATGATATGTTGTTTATCCAATTATTGTTGTACTTTGAAATTTTGTTCTGGAAGTGAATGGTTGACATATTAGAAGTCTAACAATGCACTAATTCTAAATAAACAGGTTATGGGGCACTGATGTGAAGACATTTTCAGATATACAAAGTCGCTTGCTTCTCACAGAAACATGACTTTCCAAGTATGAAGCAGAGTTAGACCATTTTTTGATGAACCAGAAATGACAGTAAAAGAAAAACCAATCTTCATTCATCCTTGTCCTCCTGACGCTGCATGAAGCAAATCTTGGTTTTTTTCTGACTGAGAGAACAACCTGTTCCACTCTCCTTTGTGTTGACAGGACTCGTGCACATTACTACTTCAGTCTAGATTCTTTCACCTTTAGAGTCCAATGGTTTTAATGTGTCAGTGCTTGCTTTTTAATTAGTTTAGATGTTTTATAAACACGTTTTCAAGCACAAGCAAGATAGCTGTGCAGTTCTTTTATTGTAAAGTTTGTAAAAGATAAGTATATATTAAGTATGAGAAATTATTTGTTTGATTAATAATGTTCTTTCAAATACGTTTGTAACTATATCTTGATGTACTTCAATTTATTTATTTATTTATTTTAACATCGACTAGAAATTGTATGATGCCAACTCCAATAATCTGCAGAAAAGGGATTGATTTATTCTGCTCCAACGCTTTTGGATAGCAAACCTCTGGTAAGATTGAGAGAGACATGACGAGCTTTGGCAAGAGTCTATCCATCTTGTTTCTTACTCTCTACCACCTTTCCCAGCAGACCGTAAAGGGACACAGGGTCCGAATGGTTGTCAGGAAAATTGTTCGGGCCAATTTTGTGCAAAATGCTCAAGATGGAATTTATTTTACACACGGTATGACTCACTTTGCATAACGTGTAACTATGCAACAAAATTTTGTGGGTCTTACATATAGTGTGAAAAACAAAGTATAAGATGCAATTTGAACTTTATATTTTTTTTGGCCATGAACTTTCAGGAATGTTGCTTCTTGCCTCTCCTCCGACGGTAAAGGCACCATTACCCCAGCCGTCCATTCAAAGTAGCAGTCATGATACTCGGCTAAAAGCACAGGATAACACAAAATATGTCCAAGATGGACATGGGTGAGAGGCAGGGCGGTTGCCAGTTCAACTGCCCCTGAACAATGTAAATTTTTTTTTAATATTTTGTAATTTTATGTAAATTTCTTGTACATCCTTATAATAGAGATGTGATATTCTGTTACAATTTATGTGGGTTTCATATGTAATAATTCATCTCTGTTGTTAAGTTTTACAAATAATTCACGTTGAGTTACACCTTGTTTGAAAAATGTTACATCGTTCCGAACAATCACTACTGACAACCGTCCAGGCCCCGCGTCCGATGCACATACCATCACTGCCACGGCCTGTCTCCCATGACACATCACACGAGTAAGCATCAAAAAAAGATTGCATCAATTGTAGGCTCCTGCTTTCCAGTAACGCTAATACGAAACATGGTTTATTCCATATAACTCATTAGGTTAAATTTATATCATGTCAAACAAAGTCCACGTATACTTAAGATGTAAGCATAACCATTCGGCACAAATTTATCAAATAGTAAATTCATTCATAACGGATTTCAAATAGTACATTCCTTCAAAACAGATTTCAACATATACATACAGATTTCAACATATACATGCAATACAGCAACCGAAGAAAAGGGAAAACAGAGTACATCATTCTAAGCAATGCCATACAGTAGATTTTCACACTCGTGTGGTTAATCTTTCATGCTAAACAGATCATCCCTCATAATCTCCATCTGACCATGACAAAGTATCCTCAATTTCTTCTGAGATAAGGATTTTCAGATACTTATTTCCATAGTCTATCTGTTGTTTCTGAATATCTCGAACTACATCTCCGGCAGAGTATAGACATCGATGCACCGCAATCAATTGAAGAGTTAAGGTTTCCCATAAACAGGAAGGGAGCTCTTCCAACTCCTTGCAACCTTCCAAAACCAATTTCTCAAGACTGGGAAAATGAAGTCCTGAGCCTCTCCACGTGACCATGCTCAAGTCTTCCAATTTCAAGAACTTGAGCTCAGGGAAGAATTCCTCTTCGTCCATGCCTTCCATGTCCCATTCGTTTGCTCCATCAGCTTGTCGGAGTAATTTGAGAACCTGAAGATTTGGAAGCTTTGCTATTGTGGCAATAGTTCTAAATGAAAAGTCCTCCACAGTCAGCTTTTTAATATTCAAGGGAAGATGGAATTCAATTAGATGGGAAGCCACTTTACCTAGAACCAGCTTTAGTGATTCTAGTTGACTTAGAGAGTCCATTGCCACAATCATGTTGCTGTCATCAGAAGATTCTTCTGATTGCTGGAGACAGCATTTTAGTTCACGGATATTTGGAAACTTTCCCATCACCTTTTCCATGCTTTGCCCCACATAAAGCTTTACAGTGGAAAAAGTATCTAAACTGTATAAAATGGAGGAATATTCAATGTTGTCATTGGCCAACCTAAGATCAATCAAAGCTCCACATACATGTAGATGTCTCAATTTCTGCATTTTCATCAAAGTATCCAGAAATAACAAAAGACCAACATCAAAATAGTATGTTGTCACAAAAAGAGTTTCCAATTTTGAGAGTTTTTCTAGTGATGATGGAATGTTGTCCTTGAACCAACCTAGAACTGCCAAATACCTCAGCTCCACTAGCAAGCTCAATTCAGTCGGGAAAGCAGAACCTAGACTAATCTGTCCTAGATCCAACACTCTAAGAAGTTTCAAGTGAAAAATGAAGGACAAATGGTCTAACACTTCATGGCTCCCACCACCACGAGAAGAATATAGTAGAGAGCGCATGCGGGGACAAAATATCCTTGATTTCACAAAATGCTTTGGTTGGGAGTAAATGGATAACCGACATAGGTTGTATGGCTCCTCAACTTTATGAAGCACATCATACCCTCGCATAAACTGTAGAAAATTTTGATCTTTGGCTTTTCTCAGACAAAACACATGCAACAAATCATGAATGCGGCATGTCTTGACACCACCAATGGATCTTTGTTGCCCCACCATAACCAAACTTCTATTTATTAGAGCCATTATATAACCTTCTGCTATTTTCTCTAGATTCTGACTCACTCTTCTTCACAAATCCTTCAGCGATCCACAAGAATATCAACCTTTGGACAGAAATTTCTTGATCTTCGCTAAATGCTGCAAAGTAAATAAGACATGGCTTCAAATGTTCAGGTAGATGTATGTAACTGAGCTCTAATATACTCTTGCATTGTTCTGTGGCACCAATCTTCTTGTTTGAATTCAGCCTTTCTGCGACTTCTTCCCAACCAACTTGATCTAGAGTCAAAAGAATACCAGATATGATAACAATTGACAGAGGCAGTCCATTACAGTGTTTTGCTATTTGTCTGGCAAGAACATTTAGTTCTGGAGGATAGCCTTCTTCTCTAGTTAACAATCTCTTCTGTAGTAACTCCCAGCTTTCTTCTTCATCAAGTGGCCTAAGATAGTGAGGTTTACCAATAATCCCATGATGTCGACTAGTTAAAAGAATTCTGCTTCCATTGGTGTCATCTGGAAACGATATTTTCAAAGCATTCCATGCCTCGATGTCCCAAATGTCATCCAAAACTATGAGATACTTCTGTTTCCTCAAGTGGTTACACAATTTGTGAGCCAAATCATCTTCATTCATCTCAGAATATTGAGCCTTTGGGTCAATGCAAGACAACATCCCAAGCAACAAATCCTTCTTGCAATATGTTTGAGAAATACAACACCATGCAAGAATATGGAAATGCGATGTAACTGAAGGATGATGGTAAACTTTTTGTGCCAGAAAAGTCTTACCTAGCCCAGGCATGCCCACAATGGAAATGATGTCCAACTGCATTGATCCTCCAATAAGTTGATCAATAATTGCTTGCTTTTGATCCTTCAGATCTACTACAGCTTTATTCATTGTTGAGATGCTAGCCTGTGATGACACCTGGAGGCATGCTCCACTCAACATGCTCATTTCTGTTTCCAAAGAATTACACAGAATGAAATATCATTAACAAAACCTGGACTGCTATTAATATGATCTTATCAACTATTGTGAGATATTACCTTGAGATGACGCATTTCTCAAATGCTTGGTAGGTGTCTGGGCTTTGATGACGTTCTCATTGCCATCAACCACCAACGTCTTAGCTTTAAGAAGCTGAATTTCTGATGTGACATTATCAAATAACAACAAAGCATAAAATGATATATCTCCAACTCTTAGGGAGTCAATAACAAAATCTGCCTTGTATGCCATTTCCATAACACGGCTCCTAAGAGTTTGGAGCTCTTCATGGTGATTGCATTGCACCCTGTTTTTTGCCAAGAACGATCTTAAGAATAAAAGATCATCTTGCATTGTTTGAAGTTGGAGCTGTTTGTTCTGAACGTACTGCTCCAAATTATTTTCCAAGAATAATCTTAAGAATAACAGATCTTCTTGTGCTCTTTGGGGCTGGAGCTTTTTGCCCTTGTTGTGCTGCTCCATAACACTCTCCCCAGATGGTCCATAGTCTTCTTCATGCCCCGTGGGATGGTCCATAGTCTTCTTCAAGTATGATCTTAAGAAATCAGCTCTATCCTTTGCAAAGGAATATACGGGATCAACTTTACATCTTGCCAGTTCTTTCAATTTTTCTAGGAGAAAATCAATAATCCCCAGCACAGTGGTTGTAGTGAAGTTAAACCTCACCCCTACAGGATGATTTTCCTTTACTTCTGCCTGAATAACCCTAATTCTCTCGAGTAAACAAAAGAGCTTAACATCTATCTCCTCAGCCAAAGCTTCTTGGATGTTGTTCTGATAAAGTGAGAAAATTACAACTCCAGCATCATTCACCACAGCACCAATATGATCCTTGAATCTCCCAGGCAGCCCATCATTCATCTCTTGCTGCGTTTTGAGAATGTTTCTCAAGTATTGGAGTCCCTCATATAGCATCCGCATCTGATGTTTCAGAGATACCATGCAATTGGTAGGACAATTTAGTAGCAACTCCCAAAGATTACCTAGGAGAGAATCTACAAAATCCCCCATGATAAACATATCCGTCTTGGTAGACAGAGACAATGATGATGATTCAGATTCCAAGACATGAATATAAGCCAAACGGACTTGCTGATCAACAGGCTTGATCTTCTCTACTGATTCCAAAACCTCTACTTGCATTCCATCAAACACTTGATTATCATCTCTGAAAAACCAACAAACATAACAAAGATGTGCTGCGGATAGGGCCAAGACTCCACAATGCTGCATAAGTTCGCATTCATGCTTGCTTTGCAACCTGGCAAAGAGAATGAAATTTCTAAGAAATAGTAGCTTCTCATGAAGGGGTTCAAAAAGTTTTTCAAGTTTTGAGTCATAGGATTCACCCCAAACAAGAATGTCCGCAAGATTCTCTAGCAAGGATTGGAAGAATTCCATGAATTCATCTCCTGAAGTAGAACTGGATTCCAATAAGCGATCCAAGATAGAGGGATATGATTTACGTCCCGATTCATACCAGCAAACATCCCCTGGCACAAAGCCTCTTAAATTGCGCTGGATTCTAGACAGAGAAACCGATTGTAACAAGGAATCTGACATCTCGACATACAAATCATTGATTTGTTGCCGAAAATCCTTTAGAGTCTCTGGAAAATCAGAGGCAGCTCTCACCAAGTCACCAGGGGGCAACCCATCGTCTTCTAATCCAAGAATAAGAGAGTAAAACTGATGTGTCTTCTCAAAAACAGAAAATTTTAGGCTATACTGGGAGTGTGTCAATTCCATAGGACACAGAAGAAATGTTTTGACGAGCCTTAACTCCACCTTCAACTTATTGAAACCACGGTCATCCTGGCATATATCACCCTCATGCACCATGTACGAGTGTGGAAGTGACCTTAACAAGTCAACTCTCTCCTTTGCAAAATAAATTGGATCAACTTTACAGCTTGCTAGTTCCTTCACCTTTTCTAGTATAAGATCTACAAGCCCCACCTCATTCGTTGTAGTAAAGTTAAACCTTAGTGGCACAGGAAATTCATGCTCAGCTTTTTCCTTGTAACGCATAATTTCCTTCAGTAAAGAAGACATCTTCACATCCAGTGCCTCGGCCAAAGCTTCTTGAATTTGGTTCTGATAAAGAGAGAAAATAACAACCCCAGCATCACAGACTATACCTCCCAGATGACGCAAGGTGATCCAATTGTGTAGCCTATCATATGCATGACTCTGCTTCTTGAGTATGATTCTCAAGAATCGGAGTCCTTCATAGAGTATTCGCATTTGATGCTTGAGAGATACCATGAACCAGGCAGCAGGATTTAGTATTAACTCTGTAAGATTACCTCCCAGAGAATGTAAAAAATTCCACAAGATAGACGCTTTCGTCTTGGTGAACAGATTGAGTGATGATGTAGCAGATTTTAAGACCTCGATATAAGCCAAACGGGTCCAGTCATTAACTGGGTTCATCTTCTCGATTGTATCAGAAATCTCTGAATGCATTTTATCGAACACCTTATCGTCATCTCTGGAAAACCAACAAATACAACACAGGCGAGCTGCAGATAGGGCGACAACTCCATAATGTTCCATGAGTTTGCGCTCGGGCTTGCCCTGGGACCTGACAAAGACAACGAAATCTCTAAGGAAAACAAACTTCTTATGGAGGGGGTCTAACAGTTGTTCAAGCGCAGAATCACAGGCTCTACCCCACCAGAGAATATCCACAAGACTGTCTTGCAATGAGTCCAAGAATATCATCAATTCATCATCCGGAGGAGCACCGGATCGCAATAAGAAATCCAACAATTCCACGTACACTTCACTGATCTGTTGACTGAACTTCTTCAGAATTTCTCGAAAAGTAGAGGCTGGTCCAGCCAAGTCTCTGGTGAGCAATCCATCATTCTCTAATCTAACAAGAAGAGAGTAAAACTGCTGCCCATTTTCATGAACAGAATCTTCCACGCTACTGCAAGAATATCCCAGTTTCCTCGCACACAGAAGGAATGTTTTCACTAGCCTTAGCTCCACCATCAGCTTGTTCAGACCATGGTCATCCTTGCGGCAATCAACCTGGAGCACCCGAAACTTGAGCTTATCCAAGATTGCATCAGTGCAAGTCATCCAGTCCATCTGCTCTCCTCTATCATTATTCTCAGGTTTCTCTCTCATTCCTTTATCAGATTTCTTCTGATGCCGGAAGTAACTAGTGATTCTTTTCATCTCTACCTCTCGGCAATCTTGCTTGTAAGTTTTCAGATTTGTTCTCCCCTGTAGTCTGGTTTTCAACTTCTGCTTCTGTTTTATGCTAAGTTTGCGAGTAGAAAGGAAAAGAAGAGAAAAGTTAAATTGCTAGAGAAAAGAAATGAAGAGAAAGTAATAGTAGAAGAGACTGTTTGGGAGTTTTGGAAAGAGGGGGGAATGTTTTTGGACATAAAAGTTATTAAAAATTTATTCCACAGCTTTTTAAGGATATATTGGACATTTTATAAAAAACAAACAAGCTTCTAGCGATTTTCTCTCGTTCTGGTGGGATGATTATGTAGTGGAGACAGTACGGATGTCCCCAGCAAGGGAAAAGCAACGGTTTGGGAGGATGTGGTGTGTAATGAGCCACCGAAGTAGCATTAATTGTAATTGTCAGCATGTGCTGTGTCATTTCCATTCATAGTATCGGTTGCTTACCGGTTTGGAAGTGAGTGAGGTGGCATCCATGGGACCTGTGAATGCTTAGTGGCGGGTCGAGGTGGCAACAGGTAATTCAAATATTTCAAATGAATCAGCACCGGGACTGTTTTGCAAACTAAAAGTACAAATACTCCTGGACTTGAGTAAATTGCTTTGGAGGACAATGGCTAGGGACATTCGTGCAAGGTTTACGTTTAGCGGGAAATATATGCATAGTAGTGGGCCATGTTTGTTAGCAAGTCATTTAAAAACTGAATGCACCCTCCAGGCTCCAAGCAAGCATAGGCATTAAACCCTACCTTTGCCGCTGCCAAGAGGGAAAAAAATGGCTTAGCAGCTTGGCGGGGAGCTGTGGAGAATTAAGTCCAGAACGGATTCGACGAAGATAGAGTTACAAACGATATTAGTGTTGGTGTCGACGGCGTGCAAGGTAATATGGTATTGTAATAGGAAATTGTAAGGAGATTGGCATAACTCAAGCCTGGCGAAAATGATTGTACATGACGCTAAAGATCTAAGTATAATAACTATGGAATGTTAGATGGGTAATCATTGTTAGTGTCAAAATTTCGTATTTGTAGTAAAATCGGGTTATGGGAAACAGCTTTATTTGGGGAGAATTGCAGGGCATGTGTTTATAGTTGGCATGTGTGTAGAAATAATGAGTGTAGCCAATCGATTATGGGATGTAAATGAAATTCATTGCATAATGAAGAAGAAACTAAATGGCGCATAAATTAAATTAGTCCGAAGTTTAACGTAGTCATACATATGTGGAAAGGAGTTGTGAACATGCGAAGAAAGGGGAAAAATTGTGTGTTATTATTTAAATTGTGGAAAAAGGGCAATAAATGAAAGAGAAGGAAAAAGTATTAGTTGAATAGGTAAAGGCAATTGAGATAGGAAGTTAGTGGGTAAATTTTGGAGGACAAAGGATGGGCTAGTTGATGCAACAGTTAATGTGAAGGGCAGGTGAGGATAATGAAAACATATGGACAACGATACAGACATAGCAAACAGACGTATGAATGCTACAATGGCGCTTTTTAAAGGCATTGTTTGGGCGGCTGCCATTTCAAGTCAAAGGTAATTTGTGAAATACCAACATCCGGGCCAAAGAGGTGTAAAAGTAATAAAAATACTTCATTACTTTTTTTGTGTTGCAGTTAGTTTTACTTTTGATTAAAGCTAAAAATTGAGACGTTATGTATATATATTTGAGTTGTCTTGTAACGAATGAGATGATTGAATAAATGGTGCGAAATTATGACACTGTAATTGTAATTGTTTAGGAATACAATGGAAAGTTGGGAAGATGAGATTGGCAGAAGGCACGTCGTTGATCTTAACGAGGAGGTAGACGAGGAGTCAGATGACTGTGAGTACGTGAACCCAAGTAGAATACAGGCAGAAGAGGATGTGGAAGAAGAACCCAATAAAGAAGGGAACGATGAAGAAGTGTATGAGGTTGTCCAAAACATGAGCCAATATGATGTGATGACAATGCAGTTTGAAACTGTCAAAGATGCAGAGTGTTTCTATTTGAACTACGGCAAAGCAACCGGGTTTGGGATTAGAAGGGGTTACAAGAAAAAGCATCCAGATGGCTATGTGAGGTACAGGGCCTGGTTGTGCAACCGTGAGGGCAAGAGAGATGGCAAGCATATTGAACGGCAGGATCGACAGAGAGAGCCAAAGGCTATGACTCGGGTAAACTGCAAAGCATGCTTAAAGATTAGGTATGAATTGAAAATAAAGAAGTATGTAGTGTCAGGATTCATAAGCGAGCATACGCACAGACTTGCAAGCCCTGAGAGTGTCGCTTTCATGAGGTCCCATCGTCGTGTCTCTGATGGTGCTTATGCCCAGGCTCACACACTGAGAAGGATTGGTGTGGGTGCAAGTCAAATAGTTAAACTGTTTGCATTGCAAGCTGGTGGGTATGGGAACATAGGATTTACGCCTAAAGACCTTTACAATAAGCTACATAGGAAGCGGATGGAGGAGATTGCCGGAGGTGATGCCGAAGCTGCAATTGCATACATGGCAGGTAAGAATGACGGTGACCTGAATTTTTATTTCAAATATCTGCTGAATGACGAAGGTCGGTTGATTAGGCTATTCTGGGCTGATTCACGTAGTCGTGATGACTACCGGTGCTTTGGTGATGTGTTAGTTTTTGATAGCACGTATAATACAAATGGGTATGACTTTCCACTTGTGGTTTTCTGTGGAGTAAACAATCACTATTCGACGTGCATTTTTGGTTGTGCCTTACTGGTCCGAGAAGGAGACGATGCTTATGAATGGGCTATAACGACGTTTTTAGAGGGTATGAATGACAAGAAACCATGCTCCGTTGTAACTGATGGGGATAAATCAATGAGAAAGGCAATTCAAAAGTTGCTGCCTAGTGCCCGACATAGGTTGTGTAGTTGGCACCTGGAGTGTAATGCTAACACAAACGTTAAGAACAAGGCGTTTCTCGATGCATTTAAGGGATGCATGTTCATGAATTGCACGCCTGACCAGTTCGAGTTGAAATGGGCAGAGATAGTGAAAAAATTCGACTTGACCTCCAATGCTTGGGTTCAGAAAATGCACCGAAGAAAAGAATTGTGGGCAATGGCATACTTGCGGGGCAGTTTCTTTGCTGGGATGCGGAGCACCCAGAGGTGTGAAAAAATGAATCATGTATTGAAGATGTATTTGACACCAAAATTGAAATTGTATGAGCACATTCGATCATTCGAAATTTGCATTGCATGGCTGAGACATGAGGAGAGTAGAAACAGAAACCAAACAGAGCACACAGATTTACTTCCAGCAACGAAAATGAACTCCCTCGAGAGGCATGCAGCTGAATTATACACGAGAAAGACATTTTTAATGGTTAGGGAAGAAATGAAAATGCAAGGCATGTACTGTAGGTACAATGGGATTGACGATGGGGTCCAATGCATCCATTTTCTTCAGCACTCTTACTTGAAGGTTGAGTATAGAGTTCAATACAACAGGTTTAGTGGGGAGATGAGATGCTCATGCTTGAAAATGGAAACCCAGGGCCTACCATGCTGTCATATGTTTCGAATAATGCTGTTTGAACACTTGGATAAGATTCCAGAAAATTGTATATTAAAGAGATGGACCCGTAAGGCGAAGGAGTGTTTGATGTTACAGGATGATACTTCAAATGGTAGCATAAGGTTGACCGAGATGGCCAGGTACGCGAAGCTTATTTCTGGATGCAATAACTTGTGTTTCCATGCGGCCAAAACATTGGAGGGATTCCGACGCATAGAGGATATGATTACAACTGAGATAGTCCACGTGAAAGAAGTGCAATTGAGAGCTGAAAAACTTCCCATTCAATCGATAACTCCTGCTATGTCGAAGAAATTTGGTGTCCTTGACCCACCCTCTGATAGGCAGGCAAAAGGCGCAGTTGCGAAGGGAAAACGGAGACATGAGGAGCATAGAATGTGCGGCAACTGCAGGTTATATCTACACTCCTTGACTGAGATTATTAAAGTATAGGGGTATGGACGCTTGATGATTTTTAGGATATTTTCATATTACGTTACTTATGAAGTTTCATAACCCAAACGTAACAGTTTTTTGATGTCGCATGAATCAGGGCAAGGGATGGACACAATAGAAGGTCATGCAAGATGCCAAGGCAGCCGGCAGTGTTGTCCCCAGTTGAGGCTTCTCTTGAGGCAGGACTTAATAGCGATGATGATAATCGTGGGTCACAATTTAGCTCTGAACAGGCACTGAATCTTAGCTCACATGGGTGTGAACAGCAAGCACACAGATTGCCAAGGATGACTGCTGGATGGCCTAGCCTAAATAATGTATAACTCTAACCCTCGTCAACATATGAATTTTGGTAATGTAACATGTCTTGCACTCATTATTGATTTAAATAAATTTTTTACAAGAATGGATGGGGTACCTCACCCAGCAGCGTCGTAGGGATGATGGAAGGGCAGGAAAGTAGTAGGTTTTGCAGTACTCAGGTATATGTTGGCAAGTACCCAATTGTTGGGCACTATTTTATTTTTTCTGCAACTGTAAAACTAATGCGTACTAACTTCACGGTGGACATTCCAGGAATGCCACGGATCCTCGAGCTCGTACGGACGTGGCTCTTTGGTGGGAATGGACTTCGATCTAGCCGAATGGTGATTTGGTTGAATGATTACTACATTAAGCTAGGGGCTTAATAGGGTTTGATAGAGTTATATTAGAAGCTTGTTTTGTTTTATGTTTTGGTGGTAATCGATTAAGAGTCGCGGGAGATGTACCCTAAACCTAACTCCTTAGTGATTGTGTCATGCGATTTCATGCATTCGGTAGATTTAGCCACAGGTATGAAAGGCAAATTTTGAAATAGCTTAACAATTATTCTCGTGAATTTAGGATAGAGTTATCCATACATATATGTATGCACTGCATGAAGGCTAATATCACTCATTTGTCAAGGCTCTCAAGTGCAAAATCCCGTAATAGATCGTGCTTAACCATATTTGATACCAAATTAATTATAGAAAAGAAACGTTGAAAGCCAACATAGAAGAAGTTAAAATTAATTTACAATATCACAATTATCGCACCACAATGACAAAATCAGGTAGCCCATAGCCATAGACATCCAACTTGCCTATTCATTCAATCGATCTTCCACTTCGTAATAACATCCTTCAGTGATATAGGGCCTATCGATATTGAGGACTCTCCTTCTGTGCTTTCCATGGCATCTTGCTGAGATTTGCCCACAGTCACTTGATCCGGAGGCTTGGTGGTGGAGGGTGCAACAACCTCCATTACTTTTGACTTTGCATGTATGGGACTGATCACTTTATTTAGGGCCTTGGCCGCAGTAGGGGAGGAGGAGCAGGGTGCTGGAGATGATGTCCAGGACGTTGAAGATGATGCACGCGAAGATTGCGAGGAGTGGGTGGAAGGTGAAATGTTTTCATCAGGACGACCACGTGCAACAACAACTGGTCTATTCTTATATCTAGCGAAAGCTTCGTCTGCCTGTTTACGCGTTGGGTAGGACTTGTAAAGGTTTCCGCTGAAGCCGTTTATGGATGCATGACAATCCTCCCATTCTGTGAAGATCCCAGTCTGCCTACCAGCGAAGACGACATAACATTTTGTCATGTTTGCTGAAGACGGTTGCGTCCCTGGCCGGTGGAGGGCTTGAGGTGCAAGTCAAATATCAAGGTGGAAAAATGCAGGCAGAGTTCTATTGTGGATTCTTTGCTATGAGGAACCCGAACTACTTTAAAGTGCGAAAAGCATCGCGGACTCGTAGAGCAAGTCAAATTCGATTTATAAACAGTGAATGGCTCTTGGAATACACGACTTTCGTGTCAATGATCGGTATGGCCAACCATGTTTGCGTCTGCCATAAGTAAGCTAGGGATCAGAGGATGTCCTAGTGGGTACACGCATCGAAACTAATGTCGGTTGAACCCTAAGTATCCTAGTTTCTTTCGTCATGAACTAGGCCCTTTGGCGAACTTTTATTTTTTAATAAAATCTACATCCTTAACCTATGCATTTTTTGGGGTTTATATGTCAATTCAGGAAACAACACTAATATATGTGAGCGTATATATATATATATGTGTGTGTGTGTGTCTGTATAATATATATTATATGTTATATACAATTTATAATTTAATAAAAATAATAATTGAGACATGTATATACATACTTAAATTTTAAGAATAGTATAGAATACATGAAAAAATATATTAATTAAAATCGTTGCCCCTTTTGTTTTGTTTTTTTGTGTTAGGTTTTCTAGAGGTTTGGTACTTCTTCTGGATTCTGGTAACTCTATTGGGGTGAATTCTTACATTGTGATGAAAAAAAAAATGATTCTACAACGAGGGCGTATTGTGAATGATTTTCTGGAATTGGGGTCTTCACATTCTCAGAATACGAGCTCATTGAGCTCGCATTTTGAGAATGCGAGCTCAGTGAGAGCTCAACATCCGAATGCGAGTTCAGTGAGCTCGAATGCGAGCTCGCACTGATCCGAGCTCGGATCACAAGGTGCCCAGAAACATCCGACCACGGATGAAAGATCCGAGCTCGGATCCAGTTCAACCCACATAGATCCGAGGGCTCGTCTGTGTTTCTGTTCAAACTGATCCGAGCCCTCTCGGATCCTAGAACTTAGCGCCCGATCCGAGCTCGGATCGGTTCGCGAATATAGTAGGATCCGAGCTCGGATTCGTGAGACCTAAGATAGATCCGAAAACTTGTACCAACAGTTGCAAGTGTGTTGGAAAATTTGAGGGCTAAGAAAGCTAAACGTGTTTCTAGAATGTGAGGACTAAGAGGGCTAAACGTGTTTGTAATTCAATTAAGTTATTTGTTTGCAAATGCTTTTTTTTAATATGTTGTTGCTACACTTTCTGTTGAATCTTGGTGTCTACTGTTAATATGTTGTTGCTACACTTTTTGTTGAATCTTGGTGTCTGCTGGACTTAATGATTAGCTACTTATGTACCTTATTTTGTTTTGTTCAATGCTTGGCTCAATGCTTCAGAATTTGGTTCCATGCTTGAGGCATCTTGGAAATTGGCTTTTGATGTGTGCTTTTTTGCTTTAGAACTTAGTCTGAACCTTTACTGCTCCTTATTTGTCTATACTTGAACTCTTGCCGCATAGCTATAATGGTAGTTAAATTAAGGGATAATTTCAGAGTAATGTGGTACATGTTTACAAGCAAGCAGGTTAAAATCCCGCCTGCATAATAACACTGAAACCCGCAAGCGGGATTCTGTGTTTTTTCTATTTCAAGGTTAGCTCGCATGCGGGTTAATGTTATATTTGAGCGCGAGAAGAAAAAATTGGTAATTAGACTCTTTGGGCATTATAAGTAAATATTTAAATTAATGGCAGTTTTATTACACCAATATTATTATATTATCATTATTATGATTATTGTATTATTTCTTATGCAAATATAACATTTAATTATTTAAATTTGATTTTATTTTTACAATTTATAAAATTTTTATCACTTATATAATATTTTTAAAACCCTAATACATCTAAATTTGATTTTATTTTTCAAATTTATAAGATTTTTATTTAAAAAAATGGGATACGGATAAGATATCCGGTTGGTTCGATTTGCATAGGTGCATATGAGAATATCCGAATACTCTTTAAACCCGCATGCGGGTTTAAGGAGATTATGGCAACTCTCTGACACACTAGTTCCCTAGCTCTTAAAAAAGGAAAAAAAAAAATTTGAGAAGAGCTCGCATCCGTGGAATGCGAGCTCAATAACCAGAGCTCGCATTCCACGAATGCGAGCTCTTGTAAGCTCGCATTTGTGAAATGCGAGCTCAATGAGCTCGCATTTCACAAATGCGAAGACCCCCTGACGGAAATTAAACCTAAAATCACCATTTTTGTAGAATTTTTTTAAAATTCATCACAAAGTTGGAAATTTCTCCATCTTCCACACATATCTGCATGCGAAATTAACTGTGATACCTAGAGTATGCAAACCAGGGAACAAAGCAGTGATGGGCCCTTACTGCTAGCAAAAGATAGACATTGAGGAGTGGAGCAATGGATCTGGTTCTGGTGATGTTGATCGAATGCTTCGACTGTTGACTACCAGAAGCTACGGTTGTCTGCGAAAGCAGTGTGTCTCTGGACTACAGAATGAGTACAAGCGTTGACTTGATCGCTGAACATGGCCGTTCATTGCAGAGCACAAGACTTCACACACGCGAAATGTGTGATTCAACGAGGGAAAAAGATTGCTGGGAGACTTTGTATTCTAACTTTCTTGGATTTGAGCTACTGTAGTAAAATTGGTCCGCATGCTTTGGAGGCCATGCCACAATTTTGACAAAAGTCATGCGTGCACAAGAGTTCAGATGGGATGTGGCATGATGAAAAAAGCCTAGCACTGCGGTTCTATGAAGGATGTGTTGGAACGTAAGATGTCTGCTTGTTGGATGTATGATGGTATGTTTGTCTTGTGAACTATGCATTCCTAGCTAGGTCCAGAACCACCTATATATTTGTTTTCTAATTCAAAAAAACTCTCTGACTACATTGATGCACGTGCGTGCTTAACATGAGTATCAGGTGCTTATTTCGCAAGTAAAAAAATTAATTTTTGTATAATACTCATTGTGTGTTAATCAAGCAAATAATTTTTGTTCAGGAGAGCAGTGTCCTATATGTGAAAATTATATGTTCCAGTTAAAATTTAAAGCCTAAATTGCAATTTTTCAACATGTTATATTTAATGGTCCATTTTTTGAATCCTTTAAAATATCAGCCGTCTCTCAACATAGACAGAAACATGGCTAATTAATGTCTGGCCCATGGCTACTCCAAACAGATACGACATAATGAAAAATAACATGCATGCTATAAGTCCTTCACTAGTTTTCCCATGCACCAATATAAACAACCCCAAAAAAGGCTAAAACATCCCCATAATCCATCCCATCCTGTTCCAGTTAAAACCTCTGAAGCACAAAAAATCCAAAAGTTGATGCACTTAGCGACTCATTCCACTTCAAGTGAACTGGATATTTTCCAACCCTGGTACCCCCATTACAGCCGTGGTCCTCACGGTATTTTCTGTTGCAACAAATAGCTCCACAGCAAGACGCATCCGATCTGATTGGGAATTAAACTGGATAAAAGGAAGAGGAAGAAGTCAAGCAAGAAGTGAGTCAAACAGGTACAATAGTAGCATGGAAACACTGCCAAACCTGAAAATCAATGCCTTCCTGCATCTCCTGACTATTTTCCATATACTTCATGACATACACACCACAATCAAAGCTGTAGTATAGGAAAACGAATAAGCAAAAACCAGTAATAAGTCATGTAGAGTGTGGAAGTTACACCCATGTAGTGTATAGATTTAATAATGTAGGTGTGAATGGAATGAGAGACTAAACTGATCGAGTTGCCTGGGGCACCAACTTGGTGTCTGAAAAGCAAAGCTAGTGATGTCTATGTTGTATGCACTTCCAAACCCATGCAATAAGGCACTGTGAATCCTTTGGCGCTGAAAGAAGGGCTTTCTAAAATAGTGAGAGCGTAGAGAGTAAATTTGTGCAGCGATTACTTGTGACAGTACATTGTCTTACCACACAGTTGGCTATTGCTTCCCTTCTTGCGGTGGCATATTCAGCTGGTTTGGAGTCATAGATGAAGCATTTCTTGCATCTGAAGTCAATGACGAACATGTACCAATGCTCCCCATGATAATTCATGGGCACACATATCTGCAGTGCATCTTCTACACATGAGTACACTTTGTAAAAATGCGTGTGCAATGTCGGTATTTAAAAAAAAAAGAAAATAAACACACTCATACAGCATACCTGCTTACACTTTTGTATGTCCCCTCCAAAACTTGCTTCCGTCAGGTAGTCAGAATATAGTCTATGAGCAGAGAGGTTCCTCTGTAGAACAAGTTGCTACACAATATCTAAATAGGGCCTTGATATCATTAATTGACTCCGAAAAAATGGCCTTCCAACAACGAAAGGAACATTAATCAAACCTGAACAATGGCTGGAAGGTACCAAATGGCTGCGGCTGTACTTAATGGCAGGATTCTTCTTCTTCGTAGTGTCAAAAAAGCAGAGTAGCAATCTATAACCTAACGGAAAAAAGTCAAATTCAGGCCAAGTTTGGTTATTTAATACACTTAGCGACGCCGGCCTTTGATACAGTACCTCCGTGTCCAACCAAATACCGGGACGAAGTCGAAGAATGTTACTGCGGCTCGCAGTGTGTCCAAGCAATCTAACGAGAGTTGTACTGTACAAAATCAGGTAGCAAGTATTAAACACAAACTCTAATTAATAAAGTTGTACACTCTCAGGGCCGTGCACTGACTTGGGAGGCAATTAGTCGTCAAAAAGAAAGTTAACGATCCTGCCAAATAGGTGCACCGGCAAGGAGTCGCATTGCATGCATTTCAGAGACTGCACACAAGTGGGATAAATAAACAAGCATTACAACTACGGTTTATGAAATAGGTATGAAAGCACGAACATAATCTAAACTACCACTTACTGGGATGAGCATAGGGGATATATCCCCACTATGGTGAACAGGAGATCTAAACAAGCGCTGACGTACCTGCAAAA